TACACAGAGTCACTGTACCAAAAAGAACTGACTGACACTGAAAAATTTCAGGAAGTTCCGTATGAGCAGGAGCCAATGGTCAAGAAGGAGGAAGTGGAGGTTGCATTGAAGGCACTGGAATCGATGCGATACCAACTGACTTCTTTGAATTAACAGATACAGCTCTGATCGTCCTCAGCAGTCTATGCCAGGAAATTTGGAGGGCAACTGTCCAGATAACTAATTGGAAGAGAATTCTATTTGTTCCCATTTCCAAAAAAGGTGATCCAACACAATGTACAGACTATCAAACAATATCATTAATCATTCATATCTCAGGCAAGCAAAATACAGAAGATCACTCAAAAATGGCTAGAACATAGATAGGGAACTGTCAGAAATTCAAGCAGGTTTAAGAAGAGGCCGTGGCACCACAGATACCATTGCTGATGTCAGATGGATCCTGGCTGAAAGTAAAGAATACCAGAAGAAAGTCTATTTGTGCTTTATTGACCTTGCAAAGGCATTCCACTGTGTGGATTGTAACGTGTTATGGCAAACACTGAGAAGAATGGGAATTCCAGAGCACTTAATTGCGCTCATGTGAAACTTAGATCTACTTCAGCAGGCGTTTTGCGAATAGAGCAAGAGAAAGCTACATTGTTTAAAATAAAGGAAATGTATCCAAGTTGTATTCTCTCTCCCTACCTATTCAATAGGTATGCTGAGCAAATCATTTGAGAAAGGAACTTTATGAAAAGGAATATGGTATCAGGATCAGAGGGAGACTGATAATAACCTGAGTCATGCAGATGATACAACTTTGCTTGCTGAAAATGAAGACTTGAAGTACTTGTTTCAGAAGATCAAGGGCTGTAATCTTCAATATGGATTGCATCTCAACATCAAGAAAACAAAGATTCTTACCACTGAACCAAAAGGAAACATCATGCTAAATGGACAAAAGATTGAAACTTTCAACAGCTTCATCTTACTTGAATCCACAATTAACACCCTTGGTACCACTCTGGAAGTAAGGAGATGTATTGCATTGGCAAAGTCTGCAGTTAGGGACAGCTCCAAATTATTGAGGAATAAGGATGTCATCATGAGGACAGACTCCAAACTGACATCGTTGCTCTTCAGTACTCTGGAGAGGTCTCTGACAACAGATGTTCACAATGCAGTATGTCTTTTAGTTTTCTGGCTGCTGGTACCAAGAGTGCTGATTGTAGAGCCAAGCAAACTGAACCTGTCAACAATCTCAACCTCTTCATCTTCCATCATGATCTTGTCAATCAGACCAGGGGTGAGAATCTGTTTTCTTCATGTTGAGCTTCAATCCATCTTGAAGACTGCAGTCAAAATAATAGCTCAGTAGCAATGTCAAAGCAAGCTAGGAGCTTAGTGCTATAGAATTTGGAGCTGTGAGTCACAATCAGACCACTTGCTGTCATGTCAATTCTATCCCTTAGTAAAACCTAAAAACCAGACCTATTGCTATCTAGACCATTCTGAGTCACGGTGAATCCCATGTATTACAGAGGGAAACTGCAGGACTCGTGTCTGTAATCTTTAGAAGAACAGAGCTCTAGGCCTTACTGAGTCATGGTGCCATTGTAAGTATTCGAGTTATTCACTTTTATGTTCGTCAAACCTGAAAACTCTTTGCTGTTTGGTAGGAATTGATTCCTAGCACACCTGCCAGTCTTTTTCCACTAATAACTGGAATGTGAGTACAAAGTAAGAAGTTTTGGAAAACTGGACTTTGTAAAAAGTGAAATGTAACACATAAAGATTGACATTCTAGGTATTAACAAGCTGAGCTAGATTGGCATTGACTTCTCTGAGTCAGGCAGTCATGATCTATTATGCTGGGAATTTAAAAAGTAAGGAAAAAGAAGGTTTCACGCATAAGCAAAAAGATCATTTTAAGATCCATCTTGAAGTACAATGCTGTGAGCTACAGAATAGCACTCATATGCATACGAGTAAGACCTGTTGATAGAACTATTATTCAAATATTGTTGTTGTTGATTGCCTTCGAGTCGAGCATGATTCAGTGTGACCCTATGAACAAAAGGCCTGAAACCCCTCTACAAGCATCAACTTTTATCAAAGTTGATAGAGTTTCCAGAAGCATGTTATTTAGGAAGTGGATGCCACTCCTGCTTCCAACTATTCAAATATATTCATCAACAACTAAAGTCAAAGAGGAGGAAATTGAAGATTAATCCCAATTTTTGCAGTCTGAAATCAACCACACATATAATCTACATTCGTTATTATTTATATTAGAAGTTAAGCACAAACTATTTCTGTTACCCCAGAACCTTCCACATACTAAATAAACTGAAAACACCAAATCCCAATTGTCCAGTCACTTCTGATTCAGAGTGTCCCTCATGGATGGAGTAGAAGTGTCCCTATGGTTCTCGTCTTGACAGACGCAGACTGCTACATATGTCTACAATGGAGGAGATAGTGAGTTCAAATCCCTGACCTGTCAGGAAATAGCCTGGGTACGTAATAGCCTGGGGTCCTCAACTCATGACTGAAACAAACAAAAAAGGCCCACTTCCATTTTGTCTCTTCCAGGTCAAAATTATACCCTATCAGTTTTCTGAGACTGTCAATCTCTATGGGTGGACACTGGCATCTTTTTCCTAAAAACTGGAAGATTCTCATCTGACCTTTTAGTTTTTGCTGCCCACCCAGAGGGAGGCTGTCTGGATTCACCAGCTGTTCTACAGGAGACAGGTGGACAAAACCCTCCAATTTTATTTACATCTTCTGAAAACGTACTGAAGGGTCAGCTATGATTCCGTTCCAAGTCAATGGCACATAACAACACGATGGCAAAGATCAAGAAACCAGCTCAATTAATTGTCATCAATCGGGAACAATTCATTACTGACCCTCCTTTGGGTTTCCAAGGCTGCAAATCATAATAAATTATTTTCTCTTTCTGTTGTTAAGCTGTTGATGGGCACAAACTGCCGGAGAAGGTGGGTCTTTGAATTAGCAGCACCACCTGCTATGAACTACGTCATCCAAACTCATAAATGGCAAGCACTAAGACTTGGGTTGAAGGCAGCAGCGGCTTCAAGCCCAAAAGGGCCCTTGGGCCTGTCTTTCATTGTTTTTGTTCAGACATTCCTCTAGGTCATACAGCCCTGGTGTACAAGTTGCCGTCCCGAGGTCACTTGTGGTTGCTGTGAGGCTGAACACTGTGACACGGATGTGTCAAATCCGTTAATGGTTGGCTACCCAATGTGGACAGAGAGTGGGGTGGAGCTCCTCGATGAAAACAAGTTTGGAAGCAGGAGTGGCATCCACTTCCATAAATAGCTTGCCTCTGGAAACCCTATGAACCTGGAGAGAGGATGAAAGGCACCCAAGCGTAGAAGGACTCTCCTTCATAGGGTGCTATGAGTCGCCTGCAACTCGACGGCACGTAACAACAACAAGACTTATCAGAGAAAATAAGTAAAATTCTGATTATGAAAACACTAGTCAACACTTTTATGTGGGAACATTTTCCCCCCTTCCGGTATTCTTTACTTTCACCCAGTATCTATTTGACATCAGCAATGACATCTTTGTTCCACCGCCTCCTCTAAATTAGCTTGAATGTCTGGCAGTTCTCTGTCTACATGCTCTTCTAGCCATTTTTTAAAATGCTAGTTCATTTACAAAATTTGAGGGAACAATTTTTTAAAAGTCAGGGAGCAAGGAAAATTTCCAGAAAAAAGATTTTAAAAGTAAAAATGAGCATTGCTATACACTTTAAGTAACAGGAATGGTAGAGTGAGGAAAATTTATCCTAGATGGCTCTTTATCAAGGGAAGCAGAGGAAAAGATGTGTGTGTGTGTGTGTGTGTGTGTGTGTGTGTAAATTTTGAAGCAAAGGTTAGATGCGCGATAAAAATTACTTGATAACCTGATTTGAAGATAACAGCAGGCTAAGACGTGTGTTGAAAATAAAAAATTAAAAAGATATAGTAGAGGACACATGAAAGAGGTTTGGTATGATGAGCTTATTAGAAAAGGAAGTTCTCTGGAGCTTAACAAGAGGTCTCACGTTCTAGTCTCAGTAAAGGCAGAAGTCACTGCTTTCTGAGTTTTCTCGTTAAGAGTATCAGTAGTAGAGCTTGAACAATTCATTGCCAGTCAGCTGAAACTGAGTTGAACTTCAGCAGGTTTTGAGGAACAGCAAATCATATAGGAAGAGATGGCCTATCTTTTTCCTTCAAAGTAGCTGATGGGTTAGATTTCCTGACTTCTGGCTAACAGTGTAACTACCTACCACCACGGATCCCAAGGAGTTGAACTTTAGAAAAGTCCTTTTTTTTTCCAGAAAAAAAAAAAAAAAAAAAGAAAAGTCCTTTTTTGGTGACTCCTGATTGAATAGAATTGGGAAGGATTTAGGTAAGGATGAAAGGGTCAAACATGGACACAAAAAAACCATGATATGTGTTGGTGACCAAGTAATTGGAAAGACTAATTACTAGATCCTGGCTAAGTAGAAAAGTAAGTAGAAACCAAAAGGTATACAAGAAACCAAAGGTAAGAACAAGGAGGCACATCACATGTAGAACATGGTGAATTTAAGGAGAAATTGAGAAATTATGGGCAGGATCGAACCAATATAGACTCTGTCACTTTGTTTAAAAAAAGGCAGATGGAGTTATGAATAGGGTTATTTTAGGTACATGCTTCTCTCTGAAATTTCTTTATAAAAATGTTTACAATAAAAAATCAATAATTCTTTTTTTTTTTTTATTCCCAGCAGTCTTGTTTCTAAACTTCTTCATCTCTCTGAGAGAGAATTAGCACTTAAATGGAGCCCTCTTTGGAGCAAAACAATGAAATGAGACCTGCCTTTGTATCCAGTTCCTTGAGGAACTCTTCCAAATGGATTCACATTTCCATTTATGTCAATGGCTTTCTCAAGTGTATGCTATCTTTCAGAAGACTGTCCAGATTCCTCCCAAGTGAAGACATAAGACACTGCCCACCTGGGGAGGCTGACTTCCACTTCCTCCTCTTGCATTTCTGAGACCCTTTTCAGGACCTGATGAATAGTCATGCCTTTGTCCACTTCCTCTATGTTCACATTGTCTGCAGGAAGTATGATGATTAAACTAAACTCATTACCCTTATAAGGTAATTCCAAAACCTGGTAGTTCCGTGAAGACTCCATGAAAGAAACTGGAACGAAGAAAAGAAAACATTAAATCTAATCGACAATTCCCCAATCCAGATGTTGAGGGCTCAGCGCCTCACGTTACCATATTTTGTTTTCAGAAGGGCCCTCATCATTGGAACCTTGACAGCTGAGCCGTCTTTCTTGATGAAATCCATCAGCTGGGTGTCCTCGGGTCTGAACTTTTGTTTCCACTCTCCCTTGAAATAAATAGCATTCACCAGGACAAGACGAGTCAGAGGACCAAACTCCTCCCCTGAAAACATGTCTTTAATTTTTCCTGTCAAGTGGGTAGAGAAGGAGGCAGAAAGAGAGAAGTAATAGAAGTTGAGTAAAATTGCTCTAAAATAAGATTGACACGAAAGTTCCTTTTGCTGGTCACTTGTGGACAGAGTGACTACATAATTTATCATCTCACTTGGCAAGTTGGAGATTAAATTGGAGCACTCTAAATTGTTTTACTAGGACACAGCGCAAAAAGGAGGTCATTTTAGACCAACTTGAACATACATTAGTAATAGTCTCTCTTCCACAAAAATATTTCTATCAGTCTTCTTTCAGAAAGAACAAAGTATCTCTGCTCAGGGTTATTATTTAGAATTTTGTTTCCAGTTGCTTCAAAAGTTGATAGCAACTAACAAGGTAATGGTAGACACAAATTTGGCACTTTCTTAGGCTGGAACTATGAAAATAAGGCAAGAATGCTTATATAATCTCTCTCCTTGACACCACTATTCTTACTGTCCAAAAAGCATTTCTAAATTATTAGAGATGAATGTGACAAGATGTTATTGAGTTTTCCCTAATGCATCCTGATAATGGGATTTTTTCTGTGAACACTGTTCAGAACCCTACATAAAACTTCCCATGAAGAATACTGGAGTCTCTTATGCTTATGTTGTTGTTATGTGCCATCGAGTCGTTTGCGACTCATAGCGACCCTATGTACAACAGCCCTAAACCCTGCTCTATCCGGTGCCAATCTCATTGCCCCGACACACCCATGCCGAGTACCTCAGTCACTGAATCAATCCACCTCATAGAGGGTCTTCCCCTCCTGTGGTGTCCCCCTACTCTACCCAGCATGATGTCCCTCTCTAAAGACCTGTCTCTCCTTACAACATGCTCAAAGTACGTCAGACAAAGCCCCAGAATCCTTGCCTCCAAGGAGCAGCCTGGTTTAATCCTCTCTAGGATGAATCTGTTTGTTTTCTTGGCAGTCCATGGTGCATTCAATACTCTTCTCCAGCACCACAGCTCAAAGGTGTGCTTATACATTCTTATCTATTTCTTGGTAGCAATTCACTCAAGGCTGACCCTACAGTAAGTTTTCAGAAGTTCTAAATAAGCACAGGATGGTGGATTAGAACCGTCTGCCTTTGGGTTGGCAGCACAACTACCTACCAAATAGAGCTCCAGAGTTCCCCCTGTCAATAAGCTTGAAACAGCCTACTAGTACCTCATTTGTAAATGGGGTGTTCTTTATAATGCACTAGCACTTGAATTTAGACTTGTGTGATTTTTTAAGATGGTTTTTCTACTATGTCACTCCAGTATCTCTGGAAATTTTGTCAGTTGGCATTTAAGTTAAATTTGGATTACCAGGTTTATGATAAGACTGTCAACTTTCCTTATTACACTTTAACACATTCAGCCAAGATGTGTTAATTATTTACAGTTTATGTGGGAAATAAAGCATTTGGGATTGACAGATTTAACTTCTGCCTGGCCAAAGGTATCAAGGCTGCTGTTGTACTTACAAGCTCCTGTGTTGGGAGAAAAATTAATGTTTAAAGTTCTTCTATTAGGAATTTAAAAAAATAAGTGTCACTCCAGACAAAACAAACAAAAATCCAAACCCAAGACAGAAAGATATGAAGATAACTTTCAAAGAGGCTTACAATTTCTCGTGGTTTCACTAATATTTAGGACTCATTTAAATAGCAGTGAAATGAAATAGGAGATCTGATTGCTCTGATCCATAGTTCAGTAAGAACATCTCCAGCCATTCTTTATTTTAGGACATTAAAAAGCACGGATACAATGGCAAATAATTATTTTATGAAAATAGAGAACTTTACCATTTGTTTTGTTTTCAACCCAGGTGCTTATTGTCTCTGCACAAGCTTTTGAATCCTGAAAATCCACCAGTTTTATCGCACTCTGGAAAAATTCCTTGTTGCCATGGAGATACTGTTCTTTCACACTGAATCCTTCTTGAAGGTAGAGGGCATTGGCAAGATTAAATGTAAATTCTTGTTTTTTCTCTGAGACAGCAGAGAAAAATGACTTCAGCACAGAAAACTCTTCTCCTAAAAAATAATTATAATGTATACTGACATATTGAACATAAAAACAACAGCTTTTCAGTTTTGCTATCTAAGTGTTCTGATTCATATCACCATTTTTTTGCACGCTTAGGTATAAATAACAATCCTTTCTAAGTTTGTATAAATATTTGAAGCATTTATCTTCCACAGAAAAATACATTTTTTAGGAGAAATCCACTTTTACAGGGGAAGAAAGAATGTGTATGTAGATTTGAAATTTGTCAAAAAGGAAAATAAGCATCTACACAGGTTGAAGGAAAGCCCCCTTTTCAAGGCAAATTGAGATCACTTTTGGTTGTTGAAAAGTTATGTTTAGAATCTCATTATTCACACGATAGATGCATGTGGTATTTATCAAAAGAGAATGCTAATGCGTGCTGATGGTGGTTTGACAAGGATTGTGATAAGCAATCCCTTTCAATATTACTTTAGTTTCAGTTTAAGAAGGAATTGCTCTCTTATGAGCAAAAGCACCTGTCCAAGTTTTGAAATTTAACAAGGTAACCTCTATAATCATCTCTAGAGAGGCGTAAGAATCAGAACTGCTTATTTCTCCAGGTTCATTACTCTATATACTTTGGCTGTCTACATGAACAATGAAAAGACTTTCCCCATTCCAACCAAACCACCAGCTAAGTGAGTTCCTGGGAGTCAGCTAAAAGAATTACCCTTGGCCAGTCATTACTGGCTTGATTTTTCGGTCCATCAGCCTGTCATAGGCTGACACTTGTTTAGGAGAGAATCTGACTGTGATGGTTTGCTCAGTATGTTTCTATTTATTATAAAATGTTACATTTTCCTTTTATTTTACTTAATCCTTGAATCCAGCAAGTAAAATTTTATTCAAAGTAAAGGTCCTTCTATGAACTTTGCTATATTTTCAGGTATTGTTGTTGTTGGGTGTTGTCAAGTGTCATGTCAATTCTGACTCAAAGCAACCTCATGTGACAGAATGAATAAGGTTTTGTTGGCTGTCATCTTTACAGGAGTAGACTGCCACCTCTTTCTCCACAGTCACTGGGTCCTTTTGAACCATTGACCACATAGCCATTGCATTGACAGGGCATTCCTGTAATTTAGCAATTAACTATATGAATTAATTTATGTTGAAAAAACAAAAGTCCAATATTGACAGGTGGTCAGAGAGTTTAAAATATTACAGAGAGGAGCTTGCAACCAGATAACAATTAGAATAAGGTGTGTGCATATGTGTGTCTTTTGTTTACACCCAAGGTTTAACGTTGACACAGCAGGGCTAACACAAGTCTATAGAGTACTACTGTGCAGATAAGAACAGCCTCCCTTTCCTAAGGGTTGCAGGCTATGACCTCACATCTAAGTGGTGTCTCCATTTTAGTCCTCACTTCTCTCTGCTCTGGTTTTCACGTTCAGTGTACAAACTATGCAATTGTAGAAAGGATTCTGCAATGTATACTGTATTGTCTTTCAAACTCCTTTTTTTCTCCATTTCTGGAGACTTAGGCAAAATTCTAAAAAGATTTTGAGAGACTAACTCTGACTTCTATATGACTGGGTGTGAAGAATTTCCAGTAATTCTTTAGAATCCCAGATTTCCATATGCAAGGAAGAGAAGAGAGTTGTTTTACCTTTGGGTGCATCGTTTCCAGATTGAACATTGAGACTTTTCTTAATGGCTAGAAGGCTATGCAGGAATGAAGGCACACGAGCTTCCCCCAGAAAATGAATTAAGGTCAGAAATGAAGTCACAAAATTTCAAATCAGTTTTCCAGAATTTGTAATTTATGAACATTTTTAGAGTCATGGTGGGGAGGCTGAGAAGAGGAGTGAAAAGAGTTCCAACTCATTTGTCAGAGCGAATAGATTTATGTCATGTGCTTAAGGGCTAAGATTGTGTGACAAGCAACTCAGCTGCCCTTTGATTAATCACTGGACTCAGAAGTAAATGAAAACAATCTCACCAAGGAGCACAAGGTTGGAGAAACTAAAGTTATCTCACTTCTACATATGATTTAATTTATAGATAAAAACCTCTTTAAAAACAAGCTTCAATAAAAGATAAATATGCATGGACCATAATAAGCAATGTGGATAAATTTTATTCCTTTCTTAAAAATGAGCCTTGGAGAGCCTAGAGGTCACTCAGTGAATGTGACTACTGTTTGACCTGAACTAACCCTACAGGAAATAGTACCAATTTAAGTGTATTCTTACTAATGCCATTAAGAAATCACCAGTCAATCATATGTGCAGTGTGACTAAACCAGAAATTTTAAAAAAACCTAAAGTAGTCACAGCCAGGTTGTGGAGAAACTGGAACTCTAATTCACTGTTGGTGGGAGTGTAAAATGGTACAACCACTATGGAAGGCTGCATGGTGCTTTCTCAAAAAATTGGAAATAGAAATACCACTTGACCCAGCAATTCCACTACTGGGAATATACCCCAAAGAAATCATAACCTCCAGCCAAGCAGATACATGCACACCCATGTTCATTGCGGCTTTGTTCACAATAGCAAGGAGTTGGAAACAACCTAAGTGCCCATCAACAAACCAATGGATAGAGAAGCTCTGGTATATTCACACAATGGCATACTATGCTGCATTGAAAAACAAGGAACTCATGGAATATTATACAAAATCGGTGACCCTGGAGGACATTTTGCTGAGTGAAATATCTCCGTCACAAGAGGACATATATTGCATAGTTCCACTGTTGTAAAACAGGACTGACATCAGAGTTGGAAGGAAACTGAGAAAGAAGGGATAAATTGTGTATACTGAATTCAAAGAGATGAGGGAGAGAACTGTTTAAAAGGGATATATGATTAGGTATTATTGTCATGACAGGAGTCTAGAACGAAGGCTGCATAGTGGAGTGGACTTGCGGGGAGGGATTGTATAACAATGAAAGAATTTTTCTTTTACTTTTCAAAGAGAAGGGAGAACTGGGTAGGAGGGGTGGGCAGGGAGAAAAGTGCTACAAGGAAAGAATGGAAATCCAAAGTTTCTGTAAACCTTCATTAAAATTAATAAGAACAAAGTAGTCACAGACCTATAGATTAGTTTAGCTAAAAGGTCGATGTAAACAGTTTTATCCACTCTCTTCTTTTGGCAATGAGGCCTTTGAGGCCTAGAGAGATGTGGTCGTTTTAAAGGTGGAACAGATACCTAGGACCAAGTCACAAGATTGTTAAACGTGGATCTAAAACAGGAATTCATGTCTAGTCCTTTTCCAAAAACTTCCTGGAACAAGCAATCACCTTCACAAGTGCTTCACAGCCTTTGATCAGTAAGCACTGATATTCAGAAGGAAAAGAGATTCTCAGCATACTAGAAAAGGTAAATCCTGAGCAGATGTTTCAACAACATGGAAAAGAAAGAGAACCACAGATACAGAGAGACACAGTGGTGTTGGGAGGACAGGAGTTGGAGTCCCGTTCTCAAACTCCCCTGAAGTAAACCTGGTGCAACAGAGGGACAGAACTAGACGACTCATTTAAGAAAAAGTAAAAAGTCAATTGCTAGAATGCAGGATGAACAATTAAGAGTCAGAGACAGAGCTTAGACTAAAAGGAAGCTGATGAGAGCCTTCTTAGACACGGAAGTTAAGGGTATGTCAAAAGGCTCTGGAATCAAAACAAACAGTCTTTGAAATAATAAAAACAAAACTGAAGTGAATCAAATGTGAAATTTTAATCAAAGACAAGCTCAGGACTGCCTTCATGTTTCCCTTTCTACACTGTGAACTACCTGGGACTTGTCTCCAAGCTTCCTGCCCCCACCTCTCCTCCTTCCTGTTTACTCTTCTTGGAGCTCACTCTGCCCCCTTACAAAACTTATGATCTCCATTCTTCTTTTTCTGTTTCTACTTCTTTTATTCTCTTTAGAATAGTTTCTTTTTCCTTTTCTCAATATTTTTTATGTTCTTGCTTTTACCTTTTGCAATTATCGTCCATCTGTGTTTCTCATTCTCCCTTACTGAAGCACAACGCAAAACTGGATTTGCAGATTTTATTATATGCATGAAAATGTTAACATTTAATTGTCCATATGTAATCTTCCAAAGAAAATGGGGGGGGGATCGTAATTGCTTTTATTGTCTATAACCTTGTTTTGAATTACTTTTAACACTACTCTTTGCTAACTTATTTAACTTTTTTGTCCCTTATTTTTTTTTTTTTCAGGACACAATTCAAATCCACCAACTGCAACGTCTGTCAAGGATGAACAGTCTCTTCCTGTGTCACTAGCTGCTTCTAAAAATAACTGGAGCGTCAGGTATGGGTCCGTTTCAACTCAGCAGCGCACAACAGTCACAGTGCTGTCCAGTCAATTCTGGCTCCTAGCAGCCCTATAGGACAGAGTAGAAATTCCCTATGGGGTTTTCAAGGGTGTAAATCTTCACAGAAGCAGCTATCACATGTTTCTCCTACAGAGCGGCTGATAGGTTCTAACCAATGACCTTTAGATCGGCAGCTTAATGCTTCAATCACTGTGACACCCAAATGCCGGTGCATAGATAGATAATTTATATCTACCTCAAAGGAAAATTGTAAGCATAAAATGAAATAATATATAGATCTATCTCTTCCTATCTATGTATGTATCTGTGTATCCAACTATGCATACCAAGTGTAGAAAATAACACCTGACACATTATATAGATATAAAATACTATATAATAATATATAAATATATACTATTCACATAAATCAGATTGACTACATAAACAGAAAGAATCACTGGAAAATCTCAATAACAGCTGTTAAAACTCACTTTGGAATAAATTATGAAGTAATCACAACAAATTCAAAT